GGTCCGGCTGACGGCCCCTCGCTGCGGACAGCGGGCTCCTCCGGGCTGCTCGGGGCCAGAAACTGCAACACATGCCCAGGGCTAGGTGCCACCAGAGGGATGGACCTCTGGGCACTCAGGTTTGGGACCCCCTCCCCACTACAGCCCTGCATGTAGGACCCTCTCCCCATCCTCCCCCACGCTGGGGACCCACTGCCCAGCCCTAGACAGACCAGACCTTCCAGTGACCTGGCACGGCTCGAGGTCCCCCCCGGTGCAGAGGTGGGACCCAGCAGAGCTCCACCACTCACATCATCGAATACCGTTCTGGCAGGAGGAGCCCTGGGGATGATGGTTTCTGTTGTCTTCCTCAGGTTCTCTGGGAAGGCTCGCAGCATCGTAGTGTGGACCACGGGAGGCAGCTCGTGGTGCCCTGTGGTGGGAGGAGAACAGAGACAACCATCAGCTGGTCCCTGGTCACAGCATCAGTCCCTCTTCTCCCCAGCAGCGACGTGGGCTCGCCGGACAGCTTTGGCTCTTCAGAAGGAGTGTCGCTTCTCATGGGAGGCACAAAAACCATCACAGCTACAACCTGCCGGCTCCGTCCCCAGAGAGGGGGACCTGGAGCAGCCAGCGGAGAAAGGCAGAGGGCAAGGTCCCCTGCTCTCAGCATGCAGTGGAGTCCTGACCCTGCTCCTCTGTGCCTCCCCTGCCATGACCTCGAGACACCCCCTTCATTTCCAAACATGCCAACGCAGCCATCGCACCTGCGACAGCAATCACTGAGCAGGCTAATTAACCCAGAGCCTGCGTACAGGGCTCGGTGCACGACGGCACACCCACCAGCACGGCTAATTGTGAGCCCCGCTTCAAAGGGCCCCTGCCCAGTCCCCACGCAGGTGGCCCCTCCTGGGGAGGGGACAAGGATGGGCTGCAACCAGCCCCAAGCCAGATTCACTGCAGTCCCCAAGGGTGAGTCACAGCCTCAGCCCTATTTGCCCCATTGAGCAAAGCAGGTTGTGCTGCCACCCCAAAACACACCGGCAGCTCGGGCCGCCCCTCCCCGGGGCACCCTCCGGGAACGAGGACGCAGGGAAAGCCCGTGCCCCTCGTGGGTCCGCACCTATTAGGAGCCACTGGTTGTGGAGCGAGGTGATGCTGCCCTGTGGGTACTTGACGTCGGTGCTAGGCGTGATCTCACACTCCCCTGACTCTCTCATGGTCACATCATCCGTGGTGGGACCGTCGATCCTGGCCAGCGTGATGCCCTGCGGCTGGAGGTCCGACAGCTCGTGGAGCACCACACAGCCGGGACGTGCGCTGCCACAGCTCAACCCAAAAGGGGCCAGCAAGGGAGACTCACCACCAGAGCCACGCTGCCGTGGACCAGGGACGTCAAGGCGTAGAAGCTGGCTGCGTACTTCCCCACGTAGAGCGCTGGCCTGCAAGGCAGGGACAAGCATGAGCCTTCCACCCGTCATGGATCAGGGTGGCCAAGCACAAGCGACCCAAATGCCACTTGGCTGCCACAGCACAGGAACCACGTACAGCAGCTGGGTCTTGGTGGCGGCAAAGTCCTTCACGGACTGGTAGCTCCACTTGAGGAGGTGGATGTCCTGCGAGTGAAAGGTCAGGTAGCGCAGGGTCTCCATGGCCAGGTTGAGGTGGGGGATGCGTCGCAGGCTGTCCTGATGCCACACGTAGATGCCGACCACGGGCGAACCATAGTTCTGCGCCCACAGGACCTCCCCGCTCTCCTTGTCCAGCGTCACCACCAGTCCGTCCCCGCTCGAGGCGAAGTGTGCCATCTCTAGGCAGAGGCAGAGGGCGATGCAGCAGCGCTGGCCGTGGGGCTTTGTCCCCCTCCGTCCCCGCTCAGTCCTGCCACCAGCCATGTGCCATTGCCTGCTGCTCTGCTCCCATAAGAGCAGCAGCCGGCGCAGTAGACGCCATTCCCAGCAACGAGCACAGCTGAGACCTGCCGGCCATGGCAGCACCTCCCCGGGGTCCCTGCACAGCCAGGATCCTGCGGCTAGCAGGGCACCAGGGCAGCTGGCTCCTGCGGTGGCCACTCACGGTAGTGGTAGGACTCCTCACAGAGCGGCGCCGAGTAGTCGGAGAAGGTGGCGTTCCAGCGCAGCTCTCGCGACTTGGTGTCGTACATGGTGATGACGTACTCTGGGGATGAGAGGACGGCATGAGGTCACTGCCCAGCACGCTGCCCCTGGGACCAGATGGACGAACAGGGCTGGCTTACGGGTACGGCCGATGTACAGCAGGGGACTTGACGGACACAGACCATCCCAGGCCTCTGTGGAGAGGGTGGTCTGCTTCTCTCCTGACTTGGGGTCCACGATGAACCAGGTGTCCTGCTTCTTCCCTGAGAATGAAAATACATTTTCCATAAGTCTCCGCAGCCTTCCTGTCCATCCCCAAAAGCCACTCGCCAGGCTGCCTCCCATCCCTCCCTTCCATGGACACGTTCCCAGGAGGTCCCCACGCAGCCTCTCCTCCTCCCCCTGCCCCGGGTCCGACGGAGCAGCTGGGCTCTGCGTACCGGTGTAGAGCACGCCATCCGAACTGCGGCACGGCGAGGACTGGACCAGCTCCGGGATGGTGAACGGGAGTTTCTGCAACACAGACGGCAGAGTGGATGCGGGGCCAGAGAAATGCCTCCGTGATCAGCAGCTTTCCTGCCTGCAGAAGCAGGGTGGGAAGGAGAGGTCCCTCGGGGACAGCCCCCCTCCTCCTCGCCTGCCCTCACTGCTCAACCCCAAAGCAGGATGGCGCGGCGGGGAAGGAAAGGGTCCCAGCTGTATTTGCCCCACACCCGCTCGGCTGACATCTTCCAGGTGCCAAGGACACGCTGGAGCAACCGAAGGCCCTGGGATCACCCTGCCCAGCAGGTCGCCCAGTCCCCCGTCCCGGTGAACCCCAGGGTTACGGGCAGGCGGGATGCACGCAGCCCCGCAGCCCCACTGACCATCAAGCCTTCTTTGTTTTTTCCTCCCAGGATATACAGGCTGCCATCATTGGGGTCCGGAAGGAATGCTGGTCTGGAAAAGAGAGAGGAGGATGAAGCGTGAGGTGTCCCCTGCCCCGGGCACACGCCAAGGGCTAGAGAGGAGCTGCACTAAAGAAATCCCTTCAGCAGTTTGCTCCGTGGTGATTCATTATGGGGCTTGACCTTTCCTGGAAACCTCCAGCACTGGATTTGGTAGGAGATGAACTCCCGCCCTGGGTTAGTACCGTAAGTCCATACGGCCGCGCTGCGCCGACCAGCCGTGCCGGCTCGGTGCCCTGCCCGCCCCGGGGGAGCTCTCTGCTGTCCTGCCTTCCCCCTGCACTTTCAGATCGGTTTTCCTCAATTTCTCTCCTATGTTTTTTTTTGAGCGTGGCGGTGCTGAGAGCTTCTGGGCTGTCTGCAGAAAGGCTACGATTCACCAGCAGGGAGCAGCTACTCCTCATCATCACGCACGAAGCGCTAGCGGCGCAAAAGGTCGCTTTAAGGCCACGCTATGGCCCGGGCTGGCAGGTCCATTGCTCCCAAGTTCCCCTTTCTAGCTGTGAATCTGTTGGTTCACCAGGG